CATAAGTTAGACGTGCGCGGACAAGAAACGCGCCGATAAATACAGCAATTTCTGTTATTTTATCTCGCATTAGAAAAACTACGCATGTAAATTATAATGATGCGATGTGTGGAATCACTTCCTCAAAATGCACATTTACGGCCACTTGCTTCACACAGCTTACAGTGGAATTATTTTGTATTCAAAAGACAAAATAAAACATTAAACATATCCGCATTATCTAGCAGTAGCGGTGCGTGCTGAATGCGGCTGAATGTGGCGCATCTCGTTGTATATGGCAGGACAACAAAGACGAGTGCCATTTATGCACAGCGGCGGGCAAAAGTTGATCCTGGTCGCGAGTGCAGGACATCGAATGATTGACACTGACCATGCCTGCGTACCGTTACGCGCATTTTTCGCGTGAACTCATCTTATAGTCCTCTACGGCGGGCACTAGGAACTTGTCAGCGTTGCCACACTAAAAAGTATTCAATAGCTCAATATATATCGTAAATAACACGCAATGAGATGCAGTTGTGTGCTAGGGCACACAACACACAGCATAACACGCATATCAATCAGTTTCGAAAAGAAAATTACTCACCTTCAGGTGTTGTTCTTACAACTCTTACAATACTCGTCATGTCGATAGTGGTTTATCACTTGTACTTCCGGCTATAACATATTTATTTATATTTATTCGTAAAAAAGTTAGTTTTATGGTTTTGGTTATGTTTCTGTGTGTTGTTGGTTGCATAAAGTTGAATTTACTGCAATGTGTGCAATTTTATTTTATTTTATTTTTAGAAATTCGTTAATAGTGCATGAATATGCGAACACTATTTGCTCGAAGTCGAACACGCCGCATTGTAATTATTATTAAAGCCTGATAATAATCTAATATTGGTTGCTAAATAAAACTGCAAATTTCACATTTTGCTCGCATACAAACGAAACCGACGAGAAAAACTCATTTCATTTGCATTTACACGTGCCGATATTGATGAAACAAGCATGTTTGCAATTTTATTGAGTTATTGAATTCGCACCAGTGTTTTCGAATAATTTTGACATTAAATTTTGCAAACGTTACCAAACTGATTCAAGATTACACAATATTTCGCATTAGATCTCTTTGAATTGAAGTAATATTGAAACGAAATCAACTTTATGCAAATAGACAACGCATGAATATTCATTCTTCTCTTGGGAATAAATGAATATTTATAAATTTATTTATTTATGCGTATCTATACAAATACAGAGCTTTTTCTCTGCTGGAATTTAAGAGCGTTGCCATTTTACGATTTGGCAATTTGCCATTTATTTTATCTTCGTTTTATCGTACTTTATTAATATTTATCGACGTCTGCATTAATATTTTAGAGGTTTTATTCCGGTTAATTAAATATTTTAAGTAGAATTTGATAAATATAAAAATTTATATTATTTATGTTTAGTTTACCTTAGAATTCATAGATGGCGACACTTGAAAAAGTTAGTTTTTATTATCTGAGCAAAACAAGAAGGAAAACACTTACAAATGCATATTTGTCATAATAAATGAACATTGATGTGTTGTTTCAAGTTCTACATCCTATTAGTCACTGATTATTTCATTGGAAATGCATATATCATAAATCTTTCATTAATAGATGATTGTTTAAAGTGATAACAAACAATTTTATCAAATGAATACACAAATACTTCCAAATTAATTCATTTTAAGATTTATAATATCAATAATTGTCATTCTATTTTCATATCCTCTTGATTCAACTTTACAGTAAGCAAATCTTATTTTCATCTTTACATTCATTAACCCTCATTGCAATATCATTCTCCCATTGTGCTTTATCACCTAGGTAATGAAGGTGATGACTTGTCCTGCTATCATCATATATCACCACAAATCATCGCCGTTCTATTCAATTTAAACTTGAGCACTTGGAAATGATAACAATTCGTAACAATAAGCCGTTCGTTCCGCGAAGCAACTCTTGTACTCGTACTTAGATACCTGGAACTGTGTGCAGAAATCTTTCAGACGATAAATAATCCATGAATCATGAATAATTCCTGCATGTACGGGACAGAGGAGTGCATGTCTCAAAGGCTCAACCCAACTGTACATGATCTGAAGTGTGATTTGAAGTAAAGTGTGAAATATTTCCGATTGTATTCCGGATTATATTTCTGTGGAAGTTTTACAGATGTGTGAAAAACTGTATTTGAACTTGAACTTTATTGTATTTCTGCCGGGAGGAATTGAAAATTTACGATTTATTGCTTTTTTATATCTATTACTCGACTTGTTCAAGAAAATCCGTTAAAAGTTATTGTAAAGTTTTAGTTTTTATAGAAAATCGTATTGTTTGAGTTGCGGTACAAGTACTGAACATAACACTTGCTATTTTTTCTTGGAGATTTATTACACCACGATATAAAAATAATAAAACGTGAATAAATAACAGGAAAATTACGCTAATTAAATAATCACTGATATGTCAGTAAGGCGTCCATTGTTTTCAGATCTTCCACCGCGATACGATTTATTCCGTTCGGTATTAATAGTGTTCTCGTATGCACGGATAACCGTTTATAACTATCATAATAACTGATGATGGAGTGCTCTCCAACGGTGGACAATGTAACCCAGATTCGCAGCAAATTTTATGCTTTAATTAGATTACACTTGGATACGAGTAAATCATGTTCAACACAAAGATGGCGCTGTAATTGTGTAGGTATCAATCAGATAGGAATGCTGTTCGTAAAAAATAGTCGATTAATTAAGCTTCTTGTAGATATATAAATTGTCCTTGTCCCTACTGCTCTCTCCGAGTGCATTCCAAGATAGAAAGTAAACTTGAACATGACTCGGCGCGAGATAAGTCGATTTGGCTGCCATTCAAACGTAACTCATACGTTGTAAAACCTCACTTCTCGGACTGATAATGAAAAACTCGACAAGAAAAAAAATTCGACGAATTGTAAAAATTTCACTCTTGACTTTGACTATGAGTGTAGTTCTGAACAAGAGACATTTATGACTTTATATCAAAGTCCTTAGAAGTCCACGACTTGGTATTAGTATTAGTGCGTGTGTTTGTGTTTGTGTTAGTCACACTCGTATAATGTTCGTTTTGTCGGTTTCGTCGGTTTGTTCTTCTTCACCCGGCGGAGGTGAACAAACCCGGCGTGCGCGCGCGCGGCGCAACAAGTGTGTAGGTTCGCTTTGCGAAGGCAAAAAGGTTTGTTTGCGTTTGTATTTCGTCTCTGTGGGGCCGCCAGCGCGCCGATAAGCGCACTTAGAGCGTCGTCCCTTTTGTCTTGGCTTTTGTTCGGCTGGGAAAACGGCCGTATATGGTATCGCTATGTGCGCATCGCATGCGCACGTACTCCAGCGACGTGCGCCGTGTAAATGCTATACAACACATGTCGGAAACAAAAATGTGACTTAAGTCACTTTTATTACTCTCATCGACAATATTTCGGTACTGGTACTGATATTTTGAATCATTAATCATTAGTTATAGTTAATTTAAAGTTAGGAATTTCTCAGCCGTGCAAAATGTCATCCGCCATTATCACGGTCTAATGATGAAGCCGTAACAACACATTACGGTCACTTGCATATTGTTAATGCGACTTCGGTGGTCATGCATTGCCGATTCCGCCATCGACTTAACTTGCCTCATTACTATACCGTGTCCTTTTAAAAATAAACACTATTACCGCACACAGCGTAACAGAAATGGTTCTAGCGGGTATTCTGAAACACCCAGTAGGTAAAAATGTTTAAGGCACGGAACATTGAGCCTGGAAAACTTCATAATCTCGACTTGCTTCTTGTTTCTTGTATCTTGTTTCTATTTCCTCTCGTTTGGCGCTTGGTCAATGTCTTCCTCGTTTGTATCGTATCGTCTTCCAGGATTTCTGCGGTACGACATGGTCGTTGGACTGTATTGAGACAATGCCAATGACTGTACTTTCAGGCGTCCAAGTATGGTTGGGCGGATATTCGCTGTAATAAAAGTAATAATAATTGCTGTAGTTGATGTAAAATTTGAAAAAAAGTTTAGTAGTTCTCATTGGTCGCGAAAAAATAATTTTAATTATCTACGGTACGTCTAGTGAAACTCTTATTCCTTTGAAGTATATATTTTCAAGGGGTTTATTGAAGTAATTAATTTTATCACGAGATGGCACTACATATGCCGAATTTCAATTAAATTTTGCTGAAAATAAAAATTTCCTTGAATTGCAAGCTATTATGTCAGTAAATTTAACAAATTATCTGTTCTTGTGGTAAACTTAACCTCAATAGACTCAATGTTAACATTTTATTAGGTTTTTTGTTTGTTTAAATTCATTTAATGTATTTGAAGGGCATGAAAAGAAAACCTTCCCAACCTCATCATTGTGAACAGCGCACGAATCTTGATAAATCGCAATATGAGTATGCACGTACGTCCCATTACATTGTTTATTGTTTGTTGTTGGCGTTGTTGTGCGGCATCGCTCGACGAATAAAATTGTAAACGGACCGCAAGCCATCGCCGCGTGCGCTTTATGCGTCGCGGTCCTGTGTCTTCGATTTTATTACCGTGCGGCCGAAGCGTTCAACAATCGACTTGCTAACAATTATAATTATTTTTACAACTTCTGAGAGACATAGGCGCGTTTAGCATAGAAATAAAAGCGCAAAACAACTAAAACTAGATTCCTACTCAGTGATTAGCATTGATTTTATTGTTTTTCGTTCATTGTTCTCCACACTTTGACTTTGAAGTGAAATAAAACATAAAAATTTTACTTTTTAAAATGGTTTTGTGTATTGTAGTACATAGATAGGTATTGTAGTGAATCGAGATAAAAGACCAGGAAGAAAACAGAAATTCCAAACGCACTAAAGTGAAGAAAACCAAAGCGAAACTAAACGTAAAAGCTAAGCGCAAAATAATCGACTTTGAAGACGTCAACGTGCGACCAACGACCACAAAAGACCTGTCCTCTTGAGACTTTATTCCTCGGTTTTATTTTATTTTACATCACTTTATATTTCTTCCTGTTCTTATTATTGTTGTTGTGTTTCTCACATGAATCCTCTTCTATGATCATTATTTGATACGAATACTTGCCACTTACACTTAAGTGCGTGCATTAGATAAATGCGACCGCGATGAATTGCATCCCAGTTCTTGCGATTAATTCGTTCCCTTTTCCCATAAATTCGAAACCATTGAAAATGAGATTTCCCATCGTGCAGTGCAGTGCATGCATGAGTAGGAGTGCTGAAACTGAAACGCAATTTTAAGTAACACTTAAGACGCTCGAAATGAGTGACTACGAGCGTAAATAGCTCGGTGTAATTGAATCGTAAAGTACGCACAGCGCTGGAAAGAAGAAAGGGCGGCGCAGAGATTCGAAAGGTACTGCACACAGCTACAGGATGATGCATGATGCACTTTTGATGTTTTCGTACTTTTATACTGCAAATTCTCAAACTCGACTTAAGTCACTTTATTATTATTACGTGCAGAAATAAGTAGAGCAGCATTCGTGATCGAAATAAATTGGTTTCAGTTACATCTACAAAGTGCACAAAATAAAAACCATTCATTAATTTTTTTTTAAATTTTAATAAATAAAAATAAAAATTATTAAACATAATTTTTTAAGTAAAAATTTTATACTAAATAATTTAATTTTTGTTTACAGGTGATTGCACATTGAAACACCCTGTATAATATAAGGTAAGTTCAGTCTGAAGTTATCGTGCGCCGACACGAACCGCGAATATTGTTAAATCGCAAACGCGATTTCATGTTGCGCGTTGCGCGCGTCTCGCGCAATCGTTTTAATCGATTTTATTAAATCATCTCACGATGCGCGGTGTTGATGATTGAGATGATCAATCGCGCTTTACGCGCTGCATCGCTGCATCGATCTACGTTTATTGCGCTTACGTTTACGTTTTTGTTCGCTTTTCGGAGCGTGTTTTGTAAGATGTAAGCGATCTTTCATTACAAGTTTCCTATTATCTCATATATCATTTTCAATGGATGATAATAAAATAAACAAAAACACTGCGGATGTAATAATGCAATCTGATGACGTTGTAGTTGCAATAGTAGTTAAAAGTTTTCATTTTATGACAAAAATGAAAATAAATGAGTAAAATGTTGCTTATTCTTTGATTTATTTATTTATTACACATTTTTAAATTATTTTTATTGCATTTTCAAGTTTCTACTTACATTTCTCATAAATTTTCACTTTTTCTTGAGTTTATTTTATGTTTATTTCATGTTTCAAGGAAATATTATTTTTATTTGTGTTTTGAGGTTAGAATAGTAAATTATTCACTAGTGTATTATAGTAAATATGATATACTATTAGTAATATAAATTATAAATGTTTTTATAAGTGTTTTCATGTTTCGCAATTTGTTTGAAAATAAAAACGCGAATTTGTGCCGTGTGCACTTTTTGCTCATTTGTAACAATTTGTTGAACAAACGCACGACATTTATTGATGCGTCCAGGTGTTAATTTAATGTCCTGCCGCCATTAATGATCACTCACATTTTCTTTACCGATTGCAACACGCCGCACCGTAGTTACTCAATTTACAAGCAATTAGTGGACACTTTTTGTGCTTAGTGTTGGTTTCTTTCATAAAATTCAAATAAAACATGATTGCTACACTGTGTCAGCAATTAAACGTTTTCACCACTCATTGCACCGCGGAGCATAATTTATTTTATAAAAATATTACAAATATAAACAAATTCAACCAACAAAAACAGAAAAAATGACTAAAACGCAAAATATCACGTGAAAGCTTCATTATCATTAGTGATTTTAATAGGGTTATAATTAAAATCCGTATTTATATAAAATATTTATTGCCTTACTCATCAAGATATATTCGCATGAAATAATAAACTTTTCATTAAGGTTTTTTCCCGGTAATAAAATTTATATCAGCCGCACTAATTTTAATCCGCCTGTTAAATTTGCATTCGTTTTTTGTTTGTTTGCGGTCGATTAAGAAACGCATTTTAAAATCCTTGAAACTTTCGAAACCATTAATGCAACCAAAACCAAAGAAAAAACCGCTATAAAAGTATGACTTGTATTTTTTGATTGCGTATCAACACTGCTGATTTTATGCTTTAATTAATTTATGCGACTCAAAGCAAAAAAATAAAAAATAATTGCAACATAGACTTTTTGTTGTGCACGTGAATGTAACTTGAGTGTAACCAAAGTTGCAGCTTTGTTGTGTAACGCGGAACACAATTTAAGATCGTCTCTGATCTGAGACTTTATTAGCGCAGGAGATAAATTGTGCAAGTCGTATTCAGTTCGATCATAGATTATGAGGATAACGAATGCGGTGAGTTACTGCGCATTGCATAACCTCGAAATTCGTGTGCGTCTGTAATGAGCAATGAGCAACGACCAAGAGATGTTTGGTTAACAATGCATGGAGATTTTTGGTGCGCGCTTGTAAGTTGTAAGTTTTCGGAGCGTAGGAGCAAAGAAAGGTGAAGCGAAGCCATCGAACGCAATGCAAAGCGTCGCAATCAGATGAATAAGCGATCATTAATCTTGCGCGGCAAACGCACGTGTAATGCGATTTTTGCGTCGCGGCGTTTGAAGAGGCTTACACAATACCACAATACGCGATCGTGTCGCGTAATAAATCTTACTTTGTGCGTGAATTCACTCAGAAAAGTGTGAATTTATTAGATGATTGCTAAGAAGCAATAGTATTGCAATATTTAATATATGCAACCAATTATACATCAAAATGTGTCGAGGTAACCTTAAACTCTCGTGTTTTAACCTCAATTTTATTGTTTTTGTGCAATGTGATATAAAATCGTGTTTAACGAGCACAAAAACAAAACTAGCGACGGTCAACACGCGAGTATTGCATCATGGCGTCCGTTCGTTCGCCTCTATACCGGTGATGTACTCGCCGCCATTGACGTCCGATGCGTCCGATGAAGAAGAGCAGCGCCGACCTCCAATGGCCAAGAGGTCAAATATTTTCCGCGTTCGCTCGCGTGCGACTCGCGACTCGCTAACGAATTCCTCCGGGACAGACGTTGTGCTTTAATCGCATTGTTCTCGTCAACTTGCGCAAAACTGAAGAAAACAAACAGGAGGAAAAAGTAATAAAACCTCGCCCGACACACGGCATCGTGCGTTATTTATGACGGTTGGAAATTAGCAACAATGTGATAAATTTTCTTTCATTAACAATATGGAATTACGAAACAATTGTGTATTCTTTAAAACTACATTTTGTCACGTTTCATCTAAGCACAGTTTTCACACATAACATGAAACAAGTTAAAAATGACAAATTAATACGAATTTTCACGATTTTTTCGCTGTAAATTACGTAACTGTACAAGAAAAAACCGTGTTACAAATTACATCTTTCCTGTGTGCAGTAAACATGACGTTTTTGGTGTTTTTGCTGATTCAGCGTATTTATTTAACAGTAAATCACCGAAAATTAAAGACTTTTGTAGCTTTCATCGATGCGCTACTTTGTGTCATTTTGAAATCCGTTATGCGATGTTTGGACGCAAATAAATACAAAACGTAACAAACGTAACAAATCAAAAGCCCACCATTAGCATCCGAGGAACGTGCGTTAGCAATTAACAAAATAGAGCGACTACTGTTATTTAAATCTACGAATTAGGCGCTACTAATTTTTTAGCGCCAACTGACAGCCGTGCAAGATTTAAATAATCCTTTCTTCTCAGTTCAACCAGAAGCCAGTGGTTTATTTCGTTTCTAGAGCGACTGGTTGTTGTCTTGTTGTCATTTTGAGGTGAGTTATTAACGCAGCTAGATTAGACAAACAAATGACTCGTGATTTGTCATTTGTTTAAACATTCGACGCTATTGTTGACCCGGATTTGTCATTTTAGCGTATTTCACAACTCATTGGCATTCAATTTGTCTGGCGGTGGTATAACGAACCCAAATTAATGCACATTTAGACTTTTACACGGTGCGACGCGGAAAATATTACAAACTATGCGCATAGTCTCGACGTGAAGAGCATTCAATTGACAAAGGAGCGCTCTATGAGAGCATTTGTGCTAAATACTCGGACAACTTTTGCAATTTCTCTCATAACTGATGATTAAAGTCACGCCAAACTATGGCACGACATGAATATCAAAATCTATTCTATATTTTCACAGTTTTTAATCCAGCACATCTTTTTTTCTAAGAAATCAAAAGTTAATTAAACAATATTAATGGTTAAAGAGATTAATGTGTTTAGTGTGACGTGTGTACGCATTTGTGGTGTTGATTAAATATAAAAATATAAACCACTTTCGAATTGTTCTCAATTCAAACTGGTAATATTGATCTCAGAAATTGAATTAAACTGCCAGTAAGAAATTTGAATGAGTTGTGAGTGGCTATGAAAAAATTGATTGGTTTTAAGCGATTTGTAGAAATAGGACAATAATTATTCATCTAATTCGAAAATGATGTGCATTAGGAACAAAAAATGGAAACAAGTTAGTTTCGGTTTGTTATATCTAATTATAAAATCGTTAGAAGTTGAAGTTTTGGTGAAAGATTGTTGGTACTTGTAGAAAAAGTAAGCTTCATCAATGGTTAATTACATTATATTATTTTATGTGTTATGCATTATAATTAAAATTAGTTTTAACACCAGTATGAAACACATGGAGAAAAACGTGTTTATATTTTTAAAATTCGATTTTAATTACAAGTTAATTGCTGTTTTTGTTGTTTTATGGTTATAGATAGGCTTAAATAATGTATCATTGCTATGAATGTCATTTTGGTCATTTGGATACCCTTATTATTTATTTATTTCATGTTATTTATATTTATATATAGTAATCACCTGCATTGTACTCTGTATCAGATGTTATGGTGAAGGCGCCCTTAGTTTTTAATTAATTACTTGAAAAGTATTCAACATTTTGCAATAATTTCTTCAGAAATTTATTTATTGTTAAATTCCTGATCTATTTAATCCAAAAAATTATTTAGAAAAAGTTTTGGTAAAATGTTACAAAGGAATTTACATTAATTTTTAATTTTTTACTCAAAAACAAAATTTTGATTGTTTATAACTCTTTGTTTGATAAATCAATCAACAAAGGTCACTCTTTGTTAAATGCACAATTTAATTGTTAATATATTCCTGAAAAAAACATAATTTTAGTGTAAATAGTTCTTGAGTAGTCAATAAAAAACGAAAAAATAACAATAGTCATTTTTATCGTGTCATACAACGCGTGTGTACTTGTAAAATTGGAATTCCGGGTTTTGCGTGTGCCACATCTAATTACAATAATCGTATTGATAGCGCGACTGACAACCTAGAAGTTGGCAATGCCAAAGGCTAACGGTAAATGCGCTCATTGTTCGCCATTTTTGCATTCGATTACAAAATGAAGAACAAACGAAAGCACATATTAAGCGCGACGAACGCTTCCAAGCATTACAAAGAATCAACTAGGCTGGCTTCATTAACTAGCCAGGACAACAGTAGCCAACTGGCGCAAATGAATACAAAGTGTCAACATTACGTTTTGGGGTCAATTCATTCTAAACTAAATCTAAAATCTAAAACTAAAACTCAAAGCGTCTCTATTTAAATTATAATTAATTTGTTTCAGCCAAGAAAAAATAAAGCCAAGAAAAAGAAAACTAAAAAATACAAGTTAATT